AATGGGTGACCGATGGACTTCATTGGTGATGGATTCGGACCCAGTGGGCTGCAAGCGCCCAGTTGGAAAACTTTAGACGGTTGGGGCAATCAGGTAAAGGAGTGACGTAAAAGCTTGTGGCTACAAATCTCACGAGACACGGGAGCGTGGACATCTGTCTATGCAGTAGTGATCCTCGTAGATCATGACGAAGGACCGGTCACATGTTACTATTGTATTTCCTAGTCACACTGATGCTACAATATCTGCATGAAACAACGTTGTTTAGCCGGATTTTGCAAATCCTGACTAGGCTGATCGCCAAAGATATTATTTTCTCCTTTGCCTAAAATGGTTCATAAGACATTCGTTCCATTGAATCATTGGCTTTGTTATCCATGAGCAACTACTTTGTCTATTTGGTAAATTACACGGTGCCTCCTCCTCCATTCATTCTGTCTGGTAGTTTCATTTTTTCTAGATTAATGTTAAAAAAATATTCTCAATCACATTCGCGGAGTGTCTCATTAGTCCATCGTTTCCAAGTGCAAGACAAACGTTTTTGGCTGCCGTAGCGGCTCCGGATCCTCGTTCGATCGTGTGACCTTGTTCTTTCAGCGACGGGGACAGCACAAACGGATTATGTGAAGTGAGTGAAGTAGAAAATTTTCTAATCTCTCTACCTCGAACGTAGGCAGCCCGTTTCATGCTTTGTTTTCTCTGGTAGAAACATAGAGTATACAATTCATCGATAGCTTGATCATGTTTCTGTCATGATGGAAGAAGAGACCTCGGGCTCATGGAATTTATGACGATTTTCTATGCGTGACTGTTAGCGATGGTTTTTCTTCTATATTCTGTTAGTAAGTTCTTATGAGACTATAATCGTTGGAATGTAAATAGCATTTGCAAGAATTACGTTCGATTTCATATGCGACAACTTTTCTTGTTATCCGCGTCCTCGAAGACTGGCATAGCTGAACAGCAGATAACCCGGATTTGTTATGTTTTATCGTTAAGATATTATTTTAGATAAAAATTATGCAATAGTCACAGCCATGTAAAATATCATATTCGATGTAAAAGGAAGGCTGTCGTCATAGATGTGTGTTATAATTCAGTGGATGGATTTCAGAAACGAAAACTTTTGAACACATTTCACGTCAGCTGTTGACGCTTTATGACAGAAAGCAACGGCCTGATCACAGAGCTCTTCCGATTAACTTTCACAGACTACTGTTTTTCAGTACCAACTCGTTTCTGACATTGTGGAACCATCGATACTTCAAAACTCCGCAGAGAGGATTTGTGGAAGATGTCGACATGGGCTTCATGACGTTTTACTGGACCACTGAGATCATGCATGTAGCATTGTTACGTTTCCTCACGGACCGACGCTTAACAACCTTTGTGTTAGAGACAGACCCTACAGCTGTCCGTTACATATTGAAAGTAACCTGAATATCTTATCCGTCGAAAAACAGAAAACTTCAAGTCACTGGTAAAAGGAGTGATTATTCAGAAATTCAGTTCCATTTTAAGGATAAATTATGCAACTTTTTCATGGTTTTGAACCTTCGTTTCAGTGTTAACGAAACTATTTATGCATGAAATCTAATTCATACAGTAACAATCAAGGTGAAAAATATTGTCCTCGTTTAAGTCGGATAGCATATTATGCATTAACGGTGAATGGCATTATTGCTATTTGAAATTTTTTACAGTTTGAGTATCTAATTCACGATGGATGCAACAGTAGTTTATCCACTTTCTGAAATCATGCAATAAGCATCGTTCGACGGAATAGGGCGACGTAGACGATACGGCGGAAGCTATTTCGAACTTCTTTCGAAGGTTACTATGAACCGGATCCCTTGCCGTTTACTGTCTTGTACAGCTACCAGCAGATTCAAAGATTTCACTGGTATTTCTGTTTTAGTGGAGCCGGAAAGACTACTCTACTGAACGTGCTTATGCATCGTAATATCGGTCAGTTGGAGATCGGAGGGACAGTGCACGTTAACGGCCAAGTAATTGGGAAGTCTATTCGTCTCATATCGGCGTACGTGCAGCAGGACGACCTTTTCTTTGGATCGTTGACGGTCAGGGAGCATTTATGGTTTCAGGTAATCGACAGTCGTGGCCATCTACTTCTTAAAGGAACGATTTATATTTGCAGGCCAAATTGAAACTGCCTCGGTTCTACTCCAAACAAGACCGAATGCAACGCATTGAAGAGACCATCCAGCAGGTACGTGTATATGGCAATATATTAAGTGAGTTCATCGTTCGATGTTGTGCGTCTTTTCAGTAAATACAGTAAATTTCAGTGGGAAATTCAGTTTTATTTTATTTTTATGTGCATTTTTAATATTTAATTTTCGATCTTTCAGCTCGGTTTGACCAAATGCAGCAACACGCTGATCGGCTACCGCAGTGGGCGTTTGAAGGGCATTTCGGGTGGTGAAAGGAAAAGGCTGGCGTTCGCTTCAGAGGTAGAGTAGTGCGTAAGCGAACAAGAGCCAGTGAGGTTAATGCGTGTTGAAGTAGGTCCTAACCAACCCACCGGTTCTGTTTTGCGATGAGCCGACGTCCGGTTTGGATTCGTCCATAGCGCAGAACGTCGTGCATATGCTGAAGCAGATCGCCGAACTGGGAAAAACTGTGGTATGCACGATCCACCAACCGTCCTCTCAGGTGCACGCTTACTTCGACGAGTATGAGCAAGTCTTTTGGCACAATGCTACAGTATTCCTTCGCTGATTTGCTTGTTTAGTATATGCATGATGGCCGAGGGCGAAATATGCTTCTTGGGTCCAAGCCGTCACGCAATGTCGTTTTTCGAAAGGTGAGGTACCGATCACGTCTAGAACACGCACTCTCACTTATGCAAATATTCATATATTTAGCGTAGGCTCCCCCTGTCCACGAAACTTCAATCCGGCAGACCATTACATTCGTACATTGGCCATATTACCTGAAAAGCAGGATGAATGTCGGACGAAACTAAGGGTATGAAACGAGTTACATGTTTTTTCCTCATAATACGGTACCGTGTTCAGCAAATAGTCGAAAACTACAAGCGCAGTCCCGACGCAATAGCCATCGCTCAACTTACCGATGACAAGTCTGCGACAGGGTTTGAAGTGGCCGTGACTCAGAGCAGTGAACGGTATGAACCGCGGATTGTGAGCTGTTTATTTCAAAACTTGCTTTTTAGAAACAGTTTTTGATGTTTGCATGTAGTTCCTGAACTTTCCCAATTCGCCATTAATTTATTAGATGTATAGTTGTAGAACAACAAAGGAGACTGATATTACATTCTTAATTTTATTGCAAACATTTTGGCCTACGAACATCGCTATCCTTGGCAAAACGACAGGTTGCAAGCCTACGAGCTGCCCTTCAGGCAGCCGTTACAAAGGACTAAAGCTGGTTGTACAGATAGCAACAATTTTCGATTTACACATAGCAGTTAATTCCATGTGTCTCTCTTTTTGGCCATCTTGTTTTTTTCGTAGAAACATCTATCCATTCTTGAATCAGGATTTTTTTTTAATAATTCTTGTCGACTACGTCTATCAATGGCAACTGCTTTTTACAACGGAGAACCGACCCTGCGAAATCAACAAAAGAGTAAAAATGGCATGGAATATTTATAGGATTGAAAGTATTCCTATCTTCAAAATTGTCCTGTGTTAGAAACTGAAAGTCCGCAATCATTGCTTGCTCTCCGTGCTAAAATATGGGTGCGATACTTTGACCCTAATCATGAAATCTATTCACAAGTTGCAGACTACACAATGCAGCAAGAAGGATGTATGCCAGGAATAACAAGAAGCAGCAAGAATACGAAGGAGCGGATGAAAGCACAAGCAAGTGTCTGCGATAGTAGCCGCCGTTGCCTGTCCAAAGCCCGGATGAGAGAAAACCGGATTTTGAGACCGTGGCAAATTCCTCCGTGAATCTGATCCAACTCCCCTCCTGGTAGTGCTTTAATCGAACATTATAAGGCTTAGTCGTCGCTGGGGTTACCGAGGGGCCGCGTATGCTGTCAGAGACTTGAGACTAAATGTGAAAATTCGGTGATCAGAACCTGCTTCTCGTCTTCTGGCAGCTCGGAGCATGGCAACACATGGACATCTGCCGAAAATCAACGATACACTATACCAGTCGGCAGCGGAACCGCTCCCCGTTCTTAACTGAGGAAGCAGAGAGCGCAGTGCCGTTTTACAACGTCAGATAAGGCTCCACCACAACGATACCGACAGTGGAAGCTCATAGTCAGAGAGTGGGACATCACATCACTCAAAGGGAATGAAAAGCAGCTGTTTATGTATAAAGTACCAATTCGATATAGTTGGGCTCTAGTCAACGAAGTGCCAGGGCTCTAGAATTCTGAACCTCGTCGTGTGGAAGCCATTCTGCTAGGTATCGACTCTAAGACTCGCACAGCCCGAGTTGATGCTCTGGTAGAAGTCACAGTTGGTTAAGAGTGACATGAGGCAAGTATATCAGAGGATTATATGCTCCAGATTCAGGTTACGTTCTGCGGAACCTCAAACACTGACACAAGATTAGGAACGTTGGAAGCACTGTCCGATGCGTCTGCCTTAATGACCGAAACGATAAGCGGATGTCGAAACTGACTGACTGGCTATCAGATGGTTCATGATAGTTTCAGCCATATGAGGTGTTCGCATCAGGCATAATGGCGATGTCTCGCCCACTTTGGTACGAAAAAGCGAG